GGGCATTTTGGTTATTCAGAAGAAGTTGTTTAAAGTTTTTAACATATTTGACCCCTGTGACCTTGAATATGGGTGAAGGTCATGCATTTGAACAAACTTTGTAGCCCTTCATCTCAGCATGTTACTGGCCAAATATCATCACCCTGCGCATTTTGGTTATTCAGAAGAAGTTGTTGAATGTTTTTCACATATTTGACCCCTGTGACCTTGAATATAGGTGAAGGTCATTCATTTGAACAATCGTCATAGCCCTTTACCCCAGCATGCTACTGGCCAAATATCATCACACAGGGCATTTTGGTTATTCAAAGGAAGTTGTTTAAGGTTTTTAACATATTTGACCCCTGTGACCTTGAAAATAGGTGAAGGTCATTCATTTGAACAAACTTTGTAGCCCTTCATCTCAGCTTGCTACTGGCCAAATATCATCACCCAGGGCATTTTGGTTATTGAGAAGAAGTTGTTTAAAGTTTTTTAACATATTTGACCCCTGTGACCTTGAATATGGGTGAAGGTCATTCATTTGAACAAACTTTGTAGCCCTTCATCTCAGCTTGCTACTGGCCAAATATCATCACCCAGGGCATTTTGGTTATTGAGAAGAAGTTGTTTAAAGTTTTTTAACATATTTGACCCCTGTGACCTTGAAAATGGGTGAAGGTCATTCATTTAAACAAACTTTGTAGCCCTTTATCTCAGCATGCTACTGGCCAAATATCATCACCCTGGGCATTTTGGTTATTCAGAAGAAGTTGTTTAAGTTTTTTTTAAGACAATTGACCCCTGTGACCTTGAATATAATTGAAGGTCATTCATTTGAACAAACTTGGTAGCCCTACACCCAAGCATGGTACTGGCCAAATATCATCTCCCTGGGCAGTTTGGTTATTGAGAAGAAGATGTTTAAAGTTTTTAACATATCTGACCCCTGTGACCTGGAAAATAGGTTAAGGTCATTAATTTTAACAAACTTTGTAGCCCTTCATCCAAGTTTGCTTCTGGCCAAATATCGACACCCTAGGCCTTTCGGTTATTAAGAAGAAGTCGTTTAAAGTAAAATATTGATGCCGGACGACGGACGCCGCGCCACGGCATAACATAAGCTCACTTGGCACTTCGTGCCACGTGAGCTAATAAAACAGGAAAACTACATACTTATTAGATATATTACTGCACAAATAATTGGCATTAAAAACATCTGAATAATTTAAAATTTAACAACTGTTCTTTTAAAATGAATTCAACAAACATATATCTAGTTCATTCACACAGTAAACTCACTAGCAGATTGACAGTATTCCCACTGCTTCAAAATACAATAAAACCCATGATTATATGAACAAGAGATCCCAGAGGGATCTTGGCGCCCACCTTTGTACCATCTTCATTAGTTCTTTGTCAGTTCGATCTTTTCTCTTCTTTCCTCCGATCTGTTTGATCGAGTCATGTTAACAGTAAATGTACCTTGAGGTAACTTTTGATCTAAACTTAATACTGATGTGTATGTAAGCCATCCTTCAAAGTGAGTTTGTCATTTCACATATTTACTAGTACAGTACTTAAATTAAGTGAAAGAAATAGAATCAATCATTGCAAATGAGAAAGATCTGTTTAGTTCTTCTGTTAATCCATTTTGTTTTTATGGTCAGTCTCAAAATATAAAATGCACAACAAGAGATCAAGGGGAACCTACATATAAAATTTGAGAAAGATCCCTCCCATACTTACTGAGAAATAGCGATAACAAACTTTCACTATCAAAATCCAAGATGACTGCCTGTCGGCCATGTTGTTTATCCGATCAGTCTCTAAAAATGCCCTGCACAGCTAAAATCCAAGGGGAACCTAAATATAAAATTTGAGAAAGATACCTCTGATACTTCCCGAGAAATAGCGATAACAAACTTTCTATATCAAAATCAAAGATGGCTGCCTGTCGGCAAGGGGAATCCAAGGGGAACCTAAATATAAAATTTGAGAAAGATCCCTCTGATACTTCCAGAGAAATAGCGATAACAAACTTTCTATATCAAAATCAAAGATGGCTGCCCGTTCTGTTGATGATGATCAACATCAGGACTTGTGAGAAACATGTTCCATTGATTATGATCAACATCAAGGTTGTGAGAAACATGTTCCATTGATTATGATCAACATCTGGACTTGTGAGAAACAGGTTCCATTGATTATGATCAACATCTGGACTTGTTACTATCTGGACTTGTTAGTAACAAACTTCATTGATTATAATCAACATCTGAACTTGTTACTATCAGGACTTGTTAGTAACAAACATCATTGATTATAATCAACATCAGGACTTGTTAGTAACAAACTTCATTGGTTATGATCAATGAAGTTTGTTACTAACAAGTCCTGATGCTGATTATAATCAATGATGTCTGTTACTAACAAGTCCAGATAGTAACAAATCCAGATGTTGATTATAATCAAAGAAGTTTGTTACTAACAAGTCCGGATAGTAACAAGTTCAGATGTTGATTATAAGCAGTGAAGTTTGTTACTAACAAGTCCGGATAGTAACAAGTTCAGATGTTGATTATAATCATTGAAGTTTGTTACTAACAAGTCCTGAGGTTGATTATAATCAATGATGTCTGTTACTAACAAGTCCAGATAGTAACAAATCCAGATGTTGATTATAATCAATGACGTTTGTTACTAACAAGTCCGGATAGTAACAAGTTCAGATGTTGATTATAATCATTGAAGTTTGTTACTAACAAGTCCTGATAGAAACAAGTTCAGATGTTGATTATAAGCAGTGAAGTTTGTTACTAACAAGCCCAGATAGTAACAAGTCCAGATGTTGATTATAATCAATGAATTTTGTTACTAACAAGTCCAGATAGTAACAAATCCAGATGTTGATTATAATCAAAGAAGTTTGTTACTAACAAGCCCAGATAGTAACAAGTCCAGTTGTTGATTATAATCAATGACGTTTGTTACTAACAAGTCCTGAGGTTGATTATAATCAATGATGTCTGTTACTAACAAGTCCAGATGTTGATGATAATCAATGAAGTTTGTTACTAACAAGCCCAGATAGTAACAAGTCCAGATGTTGATGATAATCAATGAAGTTTGTTACTAACAAGCCCAGATAGTAACAAGTCCAGTTGTTGATTATAATCAATGAATTTTGTTACTAACAAGTCCTGAGGTTGATTATGATCAATGATGTTTGTTACTAACAAATCCTGATAGTAACAAGTTCAGATGTTGATTATAAGCAGTGAAGTTTGTTACTAACAAGTCCAGATGTTGATTATAATCATTGAAGTTTGTTACTAACAAGTCCAGATGTTGATTATAATCAATGACGTTTGTTACTAACAAGTCCTGAGGTTGATTATGATCAATGATGTTTGTTACTAACAAGTACTGATAGTAACAAGTTCAGATGTTGATTATAAGCAGTGAAGTTTGTTACTAACAAGCCCAGATAGTAACAAGTCCAGATGTTGATTATAATCAACATCTGAACTTGTTTCTATCAGGACTTGTTAGTAACAGACTTCATTGATTATGATCAACATCAGGACTTGTTAGTGACAAACTTCATTGATTATAATCAACATCAGGACTTGTTAGTAACAAACATCATTGACTATAATCAACCTCAGGACTTGTTAGTAACAAACATCATTGATCATAATCAACCTCAGGACTTGTTAGTAACAAACTTCATTGATTATAATCAACATCAGGACTTGTTAGTAACATCAGGATTTTGACTAACAAGTTTCATTTTCTTTATAACAGTAATATCAGAGATGTTTTATCAAAACTAAAATACAAATCCTTGGATTAAAAATAGGCAGCTTCAGCTATATATTTCATTTCACATTTTATCCTTTTCTTCAATTTTTCATTCTGTTTGACTGAAAAGTATTAGATTTGTTTTGAGTATGCCACTATACTTATATATATATAATTAAGGGCTGCAACAATACATTGTACTAGGCATCATGATACAAATATCTGCTGAAAATGTCAACTTCAAACTGACGAGTGCAGGATTTCATAGAGTTTTGTCATCGACCTCAATAGTAAATACTATCAAAATAAATTTCTCTGTAAGTTTAGTACTTTGACTGCAAAGTGGACCATACCTTTACCGATTCAAAAATAGAAGCACACTGTTTAAGAGTTTAATAAAAATTGATCCTGTTAGTGTATCATGAAACAGGCAACAAAACAAATTGATTCTGTTAGTGTATCATGAAACAGGCAACAAAACAAATTGGTTCTTTTAGTGTATCATGAAACAGGCAACAAAACAAATTGGTTCTGTTAGTGTATCATGAAACAGGCAACAAAACAAATTGATTCTGTTAGTTTATCATGAAACAGGCAACAAAACAAACTGATTCTGTTAGTTTATCATGACACAGGCAACAAAACAAATTGATTCTGTTAGTGTATCATGAAACAGGCAACAAAACAAAGTGATTCTGTTAGTGTATCATGAAACAGGCAACAAGACAAATTGATCCTGTTAGTGTATCATGAAACAGGCAACAAAACAAATTGATTCTGTTAGTGTATCATGTAACAGGCAACAAAACAAATTGATTCTGTTACTGTATCATGAAACAGGCAACAAAACAAATTGGTTCTTTTAGTGTATCATGAAACAGGCAACAAAACAAACTGATTCTGTTAGTTTATCATGAAACAGGCAACAAAACAAACTGATTCTGTTAGTTTATCATGAAACAGGCAACAAAACAAATTGATCCTGTTAGTGTATCATGAAACAGGCAACAAAACAAATTGATCGATATACAAGAATATCGCAATACAATACATATATCGTTGCAACCCTACTATACATTAAAAAAAGTTTAAATAGAAATTAACCCAAACCTATTTATTGTCTGGTTCTAGCCTAGGAAGCATTGAGAGCCGAGGGCTGAAATAACACATATTCGGAAACATTCAAACTGCCCTATTACCTACATACACACGTGTAAACTTGGCCAATGATATCAAGAAAATATTCTCTTCATTACAATGTTCAGAACTAAGCGCAACACATCATTCCAAGTGCATAAATTTAACTGTAAACCTGTCTTGAAAGAAGTTAGCTTTCTGTATCCTTTAATTTTCTTCCTGAGAAACCTTGCCATGGTACAGCACTTTGTACTGTTATAAGGGACAACTCTCCATGTGGTTGCTCTCTGAAGAAAGGTTCTGACATGAAATAGAAAATAAAGTGTTTGTTCAGCTCCAGTTACTTGTATCCTCAGAAATGGCCATTCAAATCTGTCCTTCCCACCAGACTGGTCAATCACATGTCACCAGACTGACCAATCACATGTCACTAGACTGGTCAATCACATGTCACCAGGCTGACCAATTACAAGTGATTAGCTGGAGATTTAACACCCGAACTGAAGAAGGCTGATACAGCCGAGCACTGATTCTTCCACACTTCCCGACTTCTGGATGACCCTGAACAACAGACCACTGTTACTGTTTGTGTCTGAGACAAATATCACCCAGAACACCACCACTAGGAACCTCCAGATACGTCAGGGATGATACCATGAGATTGTAACTGGGCACGCAATATTGCATTTTCATTTTTCATGTCCTCGCACTGTTGTCGCAACAATTCAAGATCAACAGATAGCCGTTCTGTTTCCTTGAGACTCTCCGCCATGCGTACATTACCATTTCTGAGTTCATTGATATAATCACAGGCTTTGGATAAAATTCCTCCTTTACTCTGAAACAGCAAATTTAACAATAGTCAGGTTATACTAACAAGTAGTTTTCACTATAACAGTTAATACAAAGTTGTTCTGAAGAAAAATGTGCAAGTTATAACTTCTCCAGTAGGAAACATTTATGTGTATCCTTTACATGGCCCCACATAAAATTTGTAGATATTGCACCCATTTGCCTTTAATAAAAAATCTAAAAAAATAGCCAGTTAAAACATATTCAATATTTGACAATGAAGATCTGTGTGTAAACAGTTCAAAAGCTCACCTTTTAACCACTGCCACTGATTTTTACCAAAAAGATTTCAAAGCTGTCATTATAAAGTTCCAGTGCTTGTGTATTATAGTAAAGCTATGAAACTGTAAGGTTTCACCCTCTAACAACTGTTTAATTTGTAAAACTAATTTTCTGATTGATTTCTAAATAAACAAGAGGCCCAGGGGGCCTGTATCGCTCACCTGGATATCTAAGCAACCAGGGCAAAATATTCTTCAAATGAGATCTAAGGGAATATGCCAGACCCCAAGGCCACTCCTTATAGCATATCTGTATTAGATTTTTCATGCCCAGCAATTTAATGTATGGTTATGGGGTGGGGATCTCAACTGTTTCCAAGCTGTGACTCAAAAACTAGGTCCATATGGCCAGACCCCAGGGTCAATTCAAATGTCATGACTGCATTTGTCTCTTTTTGCCCAGCATTTATATTTATAGTTTTGGGGTGGAGATCTCAAGCGTTTCAAAGTTATGACCCAAGGGTTAAGTCTGCAAGGGTGGGGCAGATCCCAAGGCCATCCTGGAAGCATATGTGCATTCATCTCTTTATACTCAGTATTTGCATATATATGGTTATAGGGTGGGAATTTCAACTGTTTCCAAGCTGTGACTAAGAAACTAGGTCCCTAGGGGTTCAGTCAGACCCCAGAGTATATTCTAATATCATGAGTACATTCGTCTCTTTATACCAAGCATTTGTATATATAGTTTTGGGGTGGGGATCTCAACCATTTCAAAGTTATGACCCAGGGACTATGTCTGCAAGGGTGGGGCAAGACCCTAGGGCCATCATAGGAGCAAATGTGCATTCTTCTCTTTATACTCAGAAATTGGATATATGGTTATACGGTGGGGATCTCAACCATTTCCAAGTAATTAACCTTTTTTTTGGCCCCACCCCCTAGCCCGGGGGGGTCAGCCCCAACATTTGTACAATTTTGAATCCCTGCCTCCCATGAATGCTTCCGACCAAATATGATCAATATCCATGGTATAGTTCTACAGAAGAAGTCGTTTAAAGCAATTTAGCCAAAGTGCCCACTTTTGGCCCCGCCCCTCAGCCCCACCATGTGTACAATTTTGACCACCTAGGGATGCTTCCAGTCAAATTTATTTGAAATCCAATCAGTGGCTAAGAAGTCGTTTAAAGAAATTGTTGACACACGAACGACGGACGGAAGCAACGGTATGGCATAAGCTCACCTTGGTCCTTTTATTTGGACCAGGCGCGCTTATAAACAAGAGGCCCAGGGGCCTTAATAGCTCACCTGTTATTTTATTTTTCAATTTAAAACCATACAGGTTTAACAAAGGAGTACACAATAAACGAAGTTGCAAGAAGAACTACATATACATCTGTTTTGGTGGGCACATCTTCCATTTATAAATTTCAAATTCCCTTTGAACAAGTTTCCTCTATTTCCCCATAAATTGAAGGATTTTGACCAAATTTGTTCTAGAGCATCTCTAGAACAAATTTGGTCAAAATCCTTCAATTGGTTAAGAAGATTTTTAAAGATTTACCTATTTTCCCCCTATTTGACCCTGCCCCCAGGGGGACCATACCCTCCGTTTATACAAAACTGAGAACCCTTAGGCCAATGATGATCCAGACCAAATTTGGTCAAAATCCTCTGAGCCGCTAAGGACTAGTAGAGTTTTAAAGGGAAAAGTTGACGGACGCCGGACCTGCGCCATGGCATAAGCTGACTTGCCAGGTGAGCTAAAAATTGCAGAAAAGATGAGAAATGAAATCGTCTTAACACAGAAATAAAAGACGAAAAAGTACTTACATTTTCACTAACTTTGGTCTGGCCCTGTTTCACATGTTCTTGGGCACAGTCTGGGACTAATTTGGACAGGGTTACGATCCAGTTGTTTATCTTGTCTCGTCGTCGTCTCTCCACTACAACAATAAAGACACAGTAAAACAAGGGGCCCTAACAGCTCACCTGCCATGGTCGTTTCTATATGAAACAGATGGATTTCAAGAAGATATTAGAATAAAATTTGTGTGAATGTTTATTTTGCATAACTGTAGGTTTATTTTAGCATTTATCACAACTTGTCAATCTACTGCAATTTAAAAATCAATATATTTTCAACCAAAATGTAAGCACAAGCTTCTTTAATTGACAATAAATATGCATTAAGGTATTCAATGTATAATGAAATCGGCAAACATTGGGAAACTTCATAAACCGGAATTCCCCCTAATCAAGACATCATTTTTGGTAAGAGTAACCGCCGCTGGGGAAACCCCCCGATTGTAAACAAATTGCGATTTTTCGTTATTTGCGCATCCATTGTAAGAAAATTACCCACTGTCAATTAATTTAAAGTGTTTGTAATTATTTTTACAGCAGTGGACATGTGTTTTAAGGGAAAGGAATCTGTGAAAATGACGATTGTCCTCTTTTTAACAACGTGAAGCAAGGTAAACATGCAGGATGTCCTGTTTGCCTTGGGTTGTTCCGCACCAAGTTGATTCGCCTTAAAAATGTTTTAAGGGTGAACTTTTTAGTCCTATTCAGTTTTGTATGGTTAATGTAGTCTAATTTGAATTTTTTCAATGTCTCCGTGTCTGTTTTGCAATAAGACTCGTTATATTTGTACGTGGTTGACAAAATCGACAAAACACACACGGGCTACAATATCATTATTTTTTCGAAATTGACATATAGTAAGAGATTGATGTATTCATATTTTTGTATCGTTAGATGATATATCAAGACAGTCATGGTGCTTTCGATTATTCTATGACAATTTACAGTGACACTTCAACTGTCGAAAATGGGGGGAGACATAACTATACATTTTCTTCAAAAATCAGACAGTAAAATTTTGATTCAGATTGTGTTTTGCATTGTAAAGAGATTTTACAAGAAAATAAATTTTCCCTCCAAGGGATAACTTGTGATGGCCAAGGCGTATTCTGTTCTCTCCTCTGTCGGTACTCGGGGCCAAATGAGATACGTGCACTATTAGATTTATATTTTCTTGTTTCCTTATACCTAATGGGCACCTTTCCTCTAGCCCAAGGAAAGCCACACTCAACTTATACTACCACTTCGGACGGATTTAGGATAAATTGTTTAACTGAAGCTCAAGCAGTAGGATTTTAAATTCTTAACATTTTCACAGATGGACAGACGCTGCACCATGGCATAAGCTCATTTTTCCTTTAGGCAGGTGAGCTAAAAATCCTCTCTTCACTTTTCAAGATAAGGAATACATATATTCTAGGAAACATTTCAAACTCACTGACAATTCTTTCTTTGTATTTGCAATCACCTCAAGTCTAATAATTTTTCGAAGCAAGGATACAGGTTAAATTACAGAATCAAACATCATTTACATTTTGAATACAGTGTGAATTGTTCATAATTATTTGCACAATTCAGACATGTTAAGTCCTTCACCTTTGTGAATTAAGTATCCAAACATAGGCATATCTATATGATGAACACTTGATCGCATGAAATCAATGATTTATTTTGAAAAGATTTAGAACAAGCTTAAAGCAAATTTGTGAAATTTACATTCCAAACTTGCAAGACTTGTTATTTTTCATTCGTTTACTCAATAGCACGAGACTCAACTTTTTGCTGTAGTTTGGTTTAGATACTTAATACATAGAAGTACAGAGAAGTAGGTAGCATCATTAATTATGCGTAAATATACATGCATAAAACTAGCAATCATGACCAGCCTGGCAATTGGCAATATGTATGAGCAAAACAAAAATCAAACAGTTGTTGTGGAGTTATCGCAGACTCATTCACCATAATTTAGTGATGGGAATCGGACAGAAAAAAAATCACCATCAATTAATCGGAAGCCCAAACCAATTGATTATAGATATATTTAAGACATGTGCAGAAAAAGTCTGAAAATTATTATATACATTATAATATATATATATGCAATATGTATTTGTTGTATTGTGTAGTTTCCTAATGTATACTTGTGTTGATTTGGTTTTAAATTACATAATTTTAAGTGCACATTAACACAATAGCACTAATTTTGCTTTAGACTGCACAAGCTAGTAATCCTTTATCATTATGTAGTATGCTTTACTGCTTCTGTATGCACCTTTTGGCCTTTAGTCACCCTCTGTAGTATGCTAACCTGCATGAAACATAACTGCAAGGTGAGTGGATGGCTTTGTAATAGTACTTACTTAAACATGTTCAGTACTTTCTCGGTTATTCAGAACAAGAGGCCCAAGGGCCTTAGCGGTCACCTGAGTTATTTATCATAGGTACTGGTAGCTTTATTTTATTGTTAAGATGTGATGTGGAAATCAGCATGTAAACTAAGTGAAATACAATACTTGTCATGTCATCAAAGGATAAGAATTTTAAAATATTTGTAAATGTTCCCTTTGGGGCCCCGCTCTAACCCCTGGGGGATGGGGCAGGAATTCCAAGTTTACAATGTGATACCGTCATCCACCAAAGATGATTCTGACCAAGTAACNTTGGCTCCTAGGGTTTGGGTAGGAATTCCAATTTTACAATTTAAAACCAGTTCCTTCAAGGATAATTCTCACCAAGTAAGAATAATTTCCAACAGAAAATTGTCAAAATATACCGAAGTGTTGTTTCCCTATATAAACTATAGTAAACTTTACCCCCTCCCCAAGGGAGAACAGATAGCTCGGGGGTCTTGAAATTTACAATTTTAATAAAGCCCCTGATGATCTTTCCATCCATGCAGAGAAAATGACTGTAATACCTCTGAGTCTGAAGAAGAAGATTTTTGAAATATTGGTTAATTTTCCCTTTTGGGCCCCGCCCTGGCCCCTAGGGTTGGGGTAGGAATCCCAATTTTACAATTTGGTAGCCTCATCTACCAAGGATGATTCTGACCAAGTTTGAAAAAATTCCATCAACTGGTTCTTGAGAAGAAGTTGCTTATGTAAAAAGTTTACGCACGACAGAACAGTGATTGGAATAGGTCACTTGAGCAAAGCTCAGGTGACCTAAAAAGTTGTTTTAAACATATTTGACCCCCGTGACCTTGAAAGTGGGTCAAGGTTATTTATTTGAACAAACTTGGTAGCCCTCCATCCCAGCATGTTACTGGCCAACTATCATCACTCGGGGCATTTTGGTTATTCAGAAGAAGTTGTTTGAAGTTTTTAACATATTTGACACCTGTGACCTTGAATATAAGTCAAGGTCATTTATTTGAAAAATTCTGGCAGCCCTTCATCCTAGCATGTTACTGGCCAAATATAATCACCCTAGGCCTCTTGGTTATTCAGAAGAAGTTGTTTAAAAGATTTTAACATATTTGACCCCTGTGACCTTGAATGTAAGGCAAGGTCATTAATTTGAACAAACTTGGTAGCCCTTCATCCAAGCATGTTACTGGCCAAATATCATCATCCTAGGTCTCTTGGTTATTCAGAAGAAGTTGTTTAAATTTTTCAACATATTTGACCCCTGTGACCTTGAAAATTGATGAAGGTCATTTATTAGAACAAACTCGGTAGCCCTTCATCCAAGCATGCTTCTAGCCAAATATCATCACCCTAGACCTTTTGGTTACTGAGAAGAAGTTTTTTTAAAGTAAAAACGGACGCCACACCATGCCATAAGCTCACTTAGCCCTTTGGGCCAGGTGAGCTAATAAATTTGTCATTAGTTTTGTTTATAAAAAATACTTTGCTATTCAGAAATTTTCGATTTCGTAAAGCTTTTAGATACTATATCGGTGTAATTTATATTTGTATTTACCTTTGTTGGCGTAGCTTTTCTTGCATAGCCTACAATATGAACTATTTCCATACGGCTGATTTAAACTGTCCCTGGATAGGAATACAATTGCAATTCCTAGTCGTTACTAATAGCAGCGGTGGCTGCCATTTTTAATCATGACCACGTGGCGACAGCAAATGTGATCTCCCTTCCCATAGTTCCGTCGTATTAATTACTGTGAAGGATATTTTCGAACTATTGATAGTGACAAGTTTTCAATCGATTGTCGCCTTTATCAAGTCTGAGCAATAGTTTTCGATTATTAGCGACAATTGTCCCAACAGTACCATAATTAAAATCTCACATTTTCTCTGAAAGTGAGGGATAAGAACATCAAACCTTCATTATGCGTAGCCCTTCTGCGATCATCACGACCCGATCTCCCTCCGTCTATTTTGGGTGTGTTGAACCCTGTCCTTGGGGCTATATTTCGCTGACCTTGCAGTACATCTTGTGGTGACATCATTACATAGAATTGCCCTAATTGAAAAAATAAATAATATAGAAAACAATTAACATTGCTCTCTTTTGTATTTTTAAGTTTAAGCCTATGACCTGAAAATCCAGAAGTTGAGGTTAAGACTTAAGAGAGCAAAAAATCCTGGGATTTAGCAATCTGTTTTGATTGGTGTAAAAGCATCACTTTTAGAGCTTATTCTCATTGTCTGTTGTTTGAGCCTAAATCTATCAATTCAAATTTTTTTTTTTCAACAAGAGGCCCAATGAGCCTGCATCGCTCACCTGGTATAAAACTCACACTTGTAACATTTCAAGTGATCTAAAATAAAGCTACAGGCAAAATATCAGTATTTATGATTAAAATTCATTCAAAAGAACCTGTTTTTTTTTAAACATTTCACCCCTGTGATTGAAAGTCGAACAAAGTCATTGTGTTGAACAAATTTTATAGCCTTTCATCTCAGGATGCAACTTGCAAAGTATCAACATCATGGGACCCATGGTAATTAAGAAGAGGTCGTTAAAAGATTTTAAACAAATTTGACCCCTGTGACCTTGAATATAAGTCAAAGTCATTCACTTTAACAAACATAGTAGTCCTTGATCCAAGCATGCTACTGACTAAATATCAACATCCTGAGCCTTTTGGTTATTCAGAACAAGTTGTTTAAATATTTTGAACTTATTTGCTCCTTGTGACCTTGAATATGATTCAAGGTCATATGTCCTAGTATACTACTGACTAAATATCATCACCCTGGGCATTTTGGTTATTCAGAAGAAGTTGTTTAAGGTTTTTTTAAGACAATTGACCCCTGTGACCTTGAATATAATTGAAGGTCGTTCATTTGAACAAACTTGGTAGCCCTACACCCAAGCATGGTACTGGCCAAATATCATCTCCCTGGGCAGTTTGGTTATTGAGAAGATGTTTAAAGTTTTTAACATATTTGACCCCTGTGCCCTGGAAAATAGGTTAAGGTCATTAATTTTAACAAACTTTGTAGCCCTTCATCCAAGTTTGCTTCTGACCAAATATCGACACCCTAGGCCTTTCGGTTATTAAGAAGAAGTCGTTTAAAGTAAAATATTGACGCCGGACGCAGGATGTGCCACAGCATAAGCTCACTTGGCACTTCGTGCCAGGTGAGCTAAAAATGAAATAGTTGACATGAGATGGCAGGGTGAAATTGGTCAAAATCTGCTTAGTCGTTCATTAGCATTTTAAAGGAAAAGTTGACCGACGGACGGACAACGGACGCTGCGGTATGGCATAAGCTCACCATGGTCCTTTGGACCAGGTGAGCTTAAAATGAATCGTGATAGGACAGGACTTCTCCTATATCCCAAGTTGGGTCACAATTCCACTTACCTACTAATAACTGTCTAGCACATGTACAAATGAACACAAATTTGGTGACTGTCCATGTAGGCAGTAGGGAGGTTTAGGCTTTTGAAGCAAAAGCTGAAAAATGATCAGAGATACTGAATTATTCCTAATGGCAGTGATCTAGAACAATTTTTTTTTGTCTGAGAGGATCTCTTACCTTGACCAAGAGCTGCATCATTTGCCCAAGTACCTGCAAAATACAATCAATTGTAGCATTCAACATTGATGTCAAAAACTTCATCTATTTTGGCTCCATGTCTTGAAAACAGCTAATGTTGTCATCTATCATAAAAGATTTAACCCATAATTTATGGTATTTACGCTCTTTTTAATTTTTGTAACAATACGATTCTCATTAGAAGACAAAAGGCCCAAGGGCCTTAGCGTTCCCCAAGGGAGAACGGATACCTTGGGGTCCTGAAATTTACAGTTTAAATAAAGCCCCTGATGATCTTTCTTTTTATGCACTGAAATTGAATGTAGTACCTCTGAGTCTGCAGAAGAAGATTCTTGAAATATTGGTTAATTTTCCCTTTGGGGCCAGGCCCTGGCCCCAAGGGTTGGGGTAGGAATCTCAATTTTACAATTTGAAACCATCATCCTCTAAGGATAATTCTCACCAATTAAAAAATAATTTCCTACAGAAAGTTGTCAAAATATACCCAAAAGTGTTATTTCCCTATATAAACTATAGTAAACTTTACCCCCTCCAAATGGGAGAACGGATAGCTCGGGGGTCCTGAAATTTACAATTTAAATAAAGCCCTGATGATCTTTCTTTTTATGTACTGAAATTGAATATAGTACCTCACGAGTCTGGAGAAGAATATATTTGAAATATTGGTTAATTTTCCCTTTGGGGCCCCACCCTGGCCCCAGGGGTTGGGGTAGGTATCCCAATTTTACAATTTGAAGCCATCTTCCTTCAAGGATAATTCTCACCAGGTAAAAATAATTTCCTACAGAAAGTTGTCAAATTATACCCAAAAGTGTTATTTCCCTATATAAACTATAGTAAACCTACCCCCTCCCCAAGGGAGAACGGATAGCTCAGGGGTCCTGAAATTTACAATTTAAATAAGGCCCCTGATGATCTTTCTTTTTATAAACTGAAATTGAATGTAGTACCTCCGAGTCTGGAGAAGAAGATTTTTGAAATATTGGTAAATTTTCCCTTTGGGGTCCCGCCCTGGCCCCAGGGGTTGGGGTAGGAATCCCAATTTTACAATTTTGTAGCCTCATCTACCAAGGATAATTCTGACCAAGTTTGAAAAGTATCCATCCACTGGTTCTTGAGAAGAAGTTGAAAATGTAAAAAGTTTACGCACGACGAACGACGACGGACAGAAAGCGATTAGAACATAGGTCACTTGAGCAAAGCTCAGGTGACCTAAAAGGAAATGACATGAATACAGTATGTATGTACATATGCAAAACTAGGACTTGGGTAACATTTTAATGTTCAAATGAATGCAAACGGAGATTCAATTAAACTTGAAGCATCACAAATCTCACCTCCAGCAGTTGCCACTTGTCCTAAAGATGCTGAGGCAACCTCGCTCTGCTGTGCAGCCGCTGTCTGGTCTGTTGCTCCTGTAGGGAAGTATGTATACCTTGTGTCTGCCTGGTTGTCAGGGGTGGGACTGCCACCATTGCTGAAAGGACTCTGTATCACAGCCTGAAATCGAGGTAACTTGGTCAGTGACAAACATAATGGAACAGTAACCACAGTGCATTAAAGGGAGGTAACTTTACATTATACATTTGGTGGTTAATATAACAAGAGATCCCAGAGGGATCTTGGCGCCCACCTTTGTACCATCTTCATTAATTAGTTCTTTGTCAGTTCGATCTTTTCTCTTCTTTCCTCTAATCTGTTTGATCGAGTCATGTTAACAGTAAATGCACCTTGAGGTAACTTTTGATCAAAACTTAATACTGATGTGTATGAAAGCCAACCTTCAAAGTGAGTTTGTCATTTCACATATTTACTAGTACAGTACTTAATGTAAATCGATCATTTCAATATGAAAAAGATCTGTTTAGTTCTTCTTTTAATCCATTTAGTTTTTATGATCAGTCTCAAAATATAACATGCACAACGAGGGATCAAGGGGAACCTACATCTAAAATTTGAGAAAGATCCCTCTAATACGTCCCGAGAAATAGCGATAACAAACTTTCAATATCAAAATCAAAGATGGCTGCCTGTCGGCCATGTTGTTTATCCGATCAGTCTCAAAAGTTGCCCTGCACAGCTAGGACCAAGGGGAACCTACATATAAATTTAAGAAAAATCCCTCTGATACGTCCCGAGAAATAGCAATAACAAACTTTCAATATCAAAATCAAAGATGGCTGCCTGTCGGCCATGTTGTTTATCCGATCAGTCTCAAAAGTTGCCCTGCACAGCTAAGGACCAAGGGGAACCTACATATAAAATTTGAGAAAGATCCCTCTGGTACTTCTTGAGAAATAGCGATAACAAACTTTCACTATCAAAATCCAAGATGGCTGCCTGTCGGCCATGTTGTTTATCCGATCAGTCTCAAAAGTTGCCCTGCACAGCTAAGGACCAAGGGGAACCTACATATAAAATTTGAGAAAGATCCCTCTGGTACTTCTTGAGAAATAGCGATAACAAACTTTCACTATCAAAATCCAAGATGGCTGCCTGTCGGCCATGTTGTTTATCCGATCAGTCTCAAAAGTTGCCCTGCACAGCTAAGGACCAAGGGGAACCTACATATAAAATTTGAGAAAGATCCCTCTGGTACTTCTTGAGAAATAGCGATAACAAACTTTCACTATCAAAATCCAAGATGGCTGCCTGTCGGCCATGTTGTTTATCCGATCAGTCTCAAAAGTTGCCCTGCACAGCTAAGGACCAAGGGGAACCTACATATAAAATTTGAGAAAGATCCCTCTGGTACTTCTTGAGAAATAGCGATAACAAACTTTCACTATCAAAATCCAAGATGGCTGCCTGTCGGCCATGTTGTTTATCCGATCAGTCTCAAAAGTTGCCCTGCACAGCTAAGGACCAAGGGGAACCTACATATAAAATTTGAGAAAGATCCCTCTGGTACTTCTTGAGAAATAGCGATAACAAACTTTCACTATCAAAATCCAAGATGGCTGCCTGTCGGCCATGTTGTTTATCCGATCAGTCTCAAAAGTTGCCCTGCACAGCTAAGGACCAAGGGGAACCTACATATAAAATTTGAGAAAGATCCCTCTGGTACTTCTTGAGAAATAGCGATAACAAACTTTCACTATCAAAATCCAAGATGGCTGCCTGTCGGCCATGTTGTTTATCCGATCAGTCTCAAAAGTTGCCCTGCACAGCTAAGGACCAAGGGGAACCTACATATAAAATTTGAGAAAGATCCCTCTGGTACTTCTTGAGAAATAGCGATAACAAACTTTCACTATCAAAATCCAAGATGGCTGCCTGTCGGCCATGTTGTTTATCCGATCAGTCTCAAAAGTTGCCCTGCACAGCTAAGGACCAAGGGGAACCTACATATAAAATTTGAGAAAGATCCCTCTGATACTTCCCGAGAAATAGCGATAACAAACTTTCAATATCAAAATCCAAGATGGCTGCCTGTCGGCCATGTTGTTTATCCGATCAGTCTCAAAAGTTGCCCTGCACAGCTAAGGACCAAGGGGAACCTACATATAAAATTTGAGAAAGATCCCTCTGATACTTCCCGAGAAATAGCGATAACAAACTTTCAATATCAAAATCCAAGATGGCTGCCTGTCGGCCATGTTGTTTATCCGATCAGTCTCAAAAGTTGCCCTGCACAGCTAAGGACCAAGGGGAACCTGCATATAAAATTTGAGAAAGATCCCTCTGGTATTTCTTGAGAAAAAATTCCGATAACAAGAATTGTTTACGGATGGACGACGGACACAGGGTGATTTGAATAGCCCACCATCAGATGATGGGCTAAAAGTAATTAATTTTATTTGGCCTAAATATGTTTTCTAACTTTTCCCCCAAAATTTAAATCGGAGATATAACTTACGTCTGCTTAAATCTAATCACCAAATTTCCACAAAACACAGGAATTTGATCCAGAGACCTTGAATTCAAAAACTTTCCTTTGGGGGCCAACCCCCAGCTGGGCCTCGCACCCCCCACTTCTTGTGCTACACTTATCAGAAAAGCAATTAAGCAATTAATTTTAAACCATAGTTTCTCTCACCTGTGTTTAACACCTGCCAATCAAACTATTTTGATACAATGGAAAGTACCTTACCTGGACGGCAATACAATATACCCCCCNAAACAGGTGTGAAACTCTCGGTACCTGCTTTTCGCCTGGGGCTGTATATTCTGTACAGGAATGGTGATTTTAAAGTTTTAAAGAGAACTGCAATGCAAGCATTTCTTATATGATACTAACAATACGTACTCGGTACGATAACTAGTCTGGTAAGAATTGCAAGTCACTGGTTTACGATCAGAGATGTACAATGTCTATATAAAGATCTAATTGTCCTAACATAATTTTGAAAAAGAGTTTATGAAATATTCCAGAGTTCGTTTTTCACTACTTTCTTATTTAAAAAGTAGTCACTCACTTCTCTGGAAATGGTACACATATTGTTGAACTCTCTTTATTTTTAGAGGAATAGAAAATTTCCCATACATCTGATTAAAAGAAAGTTAAAATAGAATGTAGAACAACTTGGAACTCTTCTTCGTTTGAGAAATAACAGTTTTCTTAGACTCTCTGCCTTAAGTTTTGTTTTTACTCCATTCTCTTATCGTTGATAGTTAGCAACTTAGATTCGGGAAATCTTAGTGAAGCAACATTCAATTTTGTGATATAAGTTTGATCTTGTTTACCCGTCCTTTTTTTGTTTCATGAAAAATACGTTAGAAATTATCTTACTTATCATAATTCATATCTATTGTAATAGTCGAAAAGAAATAAATGTACATTTATACACATATGGTAATCGGATGCTGGTTATCAGTTTTGTTGAGCCCGTGTGAAGTTTTCGAAAGTAGTTTCCTAATTATTTTCCCTTTGTATTTGTAATTGTTTATGTATTATTATTCTTAAACGGAAGAAATGTAGTTTATATCATATGGTTTGGAACGCTGGGATTGAAAGAAACGCGAGATCAACAGATAGATGCGGATTTGTCTACGGAATATACGCAGCGGCATTTTATATTATTATAAACGTTTTTGTGTGAAATGACATTCGTTGGAATTTTTATTAAGTATTGATAATTGACTTAATAAAACATAGTTTTAACACATATCAGGATCATTTTGACACTACACCAACGTATGAAAATGGATCACAATGTTAGTTAGAATTTTTATAAAAACATTGACAGAGTCTGTGGATCAAATCTAAGGACTGGCATGGACTTAATGCGATTGATTTTTTTCTTCAAAAAGTATTATACATAGAAACAACATAGATTTGTTAAAAGTACGAAAATATGACAAAAACTGAAATATTCTTGTAGGAATATGAGCTGGTCTTACGATGATACTGTCTTTGACACTGTTAGGTTTCAATTTAAATTTGTCTAATATACCGTATTCCTTCACGGATGGTCATGTATATATTTAAATTTGTCTAATATATCGTATTCCTTCACAGATGGTCATGTATATATTTATACATGACCATTCGTGAATGAATATGGTATATTAGACAAATTTAAATTGAAACCTTACAGTGTCAAAGGGATCATAATTAAAGAAATGCAATACAGTTAACTTTCAAAACGTAGTTGGTTTAAACCTTCTAAATTATATTCATATTTAATTCTGATTTTGTTTTATATATAATTTTGTATTGCAATAGTTACACATGAAATAATACGAATACTTGTTGTCTACGATTGATACACACGGAATAAAATAAGATTAGGTAACTTGAAATTAGCGAAGTCTATGTTACAGGTAGGAGAAACCATATTAAACATTTAAAGTGTAGACTTGTAAGGACCAATATTTTCATTCTGTTCATAATTTAATACAACCGTCTTTTTTATTTTTCATTTTTATAAACACAAAAAAAACACGAAAATTTGGGGAATTGATTGGGCGGTACCTCGACGATACACACCATCTAATCAGTCGCATGATGCGGTGTATTGCGTAAGCTCCGCCCATTATGACAGGAGGGCCACTGTGCTGAGGTGTGATTGACGTTTCAGACCAACCAATAATTTTGGGCGATTTCTCAGTGCAGGGACAGTCGACTTGTCCGCCTTGTTAGATTTTTCAATTCAGCAAACTGTGATAACATTTTATACAATGTATACTTAAGGAGACACTTATAATGATGTGTTTAATATTTAATGTACCGGTCCTTTTCAATTAAATTCTACGTCTATTGGACAAAGACAAAATGTTTATCACGTTACAAGGCAATGCTACTTTATATTAAGCATAAATGGGTAATTTTAAATAGATCTCGTGGAACTCGTTTCTTTTTAAATATCCACTACAAGACGGGCTCCCCCCCCCCCCCCCCCCAGTATGTGCTGGCATTATTTCTTTTCCGTTTGGGAAATTCAAGTAGCGCTTTCTGTTCGGTGTGCCGATTGTAACTGTACATCTGTGGTACCGCAGACAGGAACAGAGGCCACAGCAGACACATACATGGCCCAACGTTTGAATAAAACTTGAACTAGTAATATACTGTATTTTCTCTGTCCAGACTTAATCCCCATCACCCATGAACGCAGGATAGTTGCGGAGGGCTTATCAATGTAAAGCCGGCGGATCTACCTTGATATAGCCAGCGTTTCTTCCGCGATCATTCTGCGGCTACGAGCGACGGGGATTAAAATTTGTCGCTCGGCGGGCGACTGAGTACCAAATCACCTGACGCGTACTGTATGACGCCTGTGACCTTGAATGTCGAACAAGGACATAAGGTTGAAAAACCTTGAAAGTAGGTCAAGGTAATTAATTCTGAGCAACATTGCTTCAAAGTGTCATACCAAAATGTTCACCAGTGAAAAGATACAAAATTTAACCTTGACCTTTGACCCAATGACTTTGACATTTGGTTAGGTTGACTCCTTGTTAATTCTGATTAACTTTGCTTCATCATGTCATACCAAAATGTTCATCAGTGAAAATATGCAAAATTTGACCTTGAACTTTGAACCTAAAGACCATGACCTTTGACCCTGACTTTTTACCCCAATGTTTATTTTTGTGAACTGAACATATTGACCAAGTTTCATGTACATCGGTCAATAAATACCAAAGTTATCAGCCAGGAACAAAATTTGTGGACGGACGGACAGACTGATTACTATAGGGCACCCGTATCTCCGATATGGGCCCTAATTATAGAGGTAGACAGGTCAGGCTTACCTGTGTGGCTTGTAGGAAATTATAGAGGTAGACAGGTCTGGCTTACCTGTGTGGCTTGTGAGATTATAGAGGAAGACAGGTCTGGCTTACCTGTGTGGCTTGTAGGAAATTATAGAGGTAGACAGGTCAGGCTTACCTGTGTGGCTTGTGGGAAAGTATAGAGGTAGACAGGTCTGGCTTACCTGTGTGGCTTGTGGGAAAGCATTTGTTGTTACGACTTGAGCTGCTGCCTCTGTACCATCCTGGGCTACCTGTACAACACGATAAGTTACCTGACCTGTAAACACACAAATTACAAAGACATGTATTAAAGATTTAACGTTAATGCAAGATTACTTCTTTATAAACTTGTGCGAAATATTAAAATTTGGTAAAACCTGAGGCTTTGCCGAGAGTTTTATCCTGATGGTGTAATGGACAAGCTGTTATCAATACACAGATGAGGACAGGCTGAATCCAGTATACCCTCCTAACTTCATTGCAGGGTTATGATAAGGGGCCTTTTTCCAATTCACCTCGTAAAATCTAAAAAGGAACAATATTGGACCTGATGGACATGGTTAACACATGTGCCCCCTATATGCCCCCTCACACTGCAATATAAAAGTGAGCGCAAGAAAACCCCAGCAATATTTGATCATAGTTAATTTGGCAATATGTATCACAGTTCAGTGGAATTTGCAAATTATGCAATTAGACAAATGTATTACAGTATTATCAAACACTCTAGATATGTTGAAAATTGAAGTTTTTTTTCTTTGCTCTATTAATCTTACCGGTCTCCGTGCGGAACTGGTACTGTATATTTGGGTCCAAACTTAATGTCGCACCCTGCTGCACGGAGGCCATAGCCTGGCTGTCCGGAGATTCACCTGTCAGTCAAAATCAATTAATTCATCAGAGATGATATAAGCAACTTAATGAACACCAAAACAAACTACTTAAATTTAGAAATATCTGAGGCCAAATTTAAGCAGTTAAACACAATTGGACCAAAATTTAATATTTGTATTGAACTAACATGGCAACACAAATGCAGATAAGAAAGAAAATATTCTTGTGTTGCCTGCAGTCTTTGGGATAGCTTTACCTTGTATACTTACTGGTATACATGTATATATAGCATGATTAATTCTTACATACCGAATATAACACTTGTATCCTTAAGGTCTATATATGGCTTAGTATATATACCAGTACTTGTACGTACATGTTAGTATAAGTAATTAAATCATATGTAGGCTACATATTGCTATATACTGCAGGACATAAATAATCTATTTTTTTAGTTACTTGTTGCTCATACATGTATATAGTATATGCTATCAAAAGAAAAGTATTCAAATAATAACTACATGTAAAAGGTCACAAAACACTGATTCAATAGTCAATAGTATATTGTCAGGATAACAACTAATTATTGTACATGCCAGAATAATAGATTGAACATTTTCACTTCATATTTTGAAAAACAACTGTCTCAACTCATCTACCACTATTATATTTCTATCCATTTCTTTTCTAAATGAATAGATTTTTATTTATTTTTATTAAAATCTGAAACTGTTATGCTAAATTTAAAATTTCATTCCATTAATGCCAATATAAAAATTATGCAAAAACAACTTTCACTAGCTGCTGTCCTCTGCTTTTTAATTATAATATTAAAAAAATACACCATTTCATTTTTTACCTTGACCACTCAGCTGAACATCATCAGAACCAGTGGAATCATTTGTTTTATCATGGCTGCAATGAAAGGGGAAAATTTGTAGAATTTGTTATTTTTCAATGTTCTAAAATAAACATGTTGGCTTTATTTTAACTAAAAACGGTACATGTGTTGGCAATGTTATTGAAAATTTCAGAGACATGAATCAAATGTCTATGCATTGCTGCACCTGTTTTAGATGGAAACAAAACAATATACAAATATTGTTATCTTGATGATCTAGACTCCAGTAGTGATAATTTTCGAAATAAATTCAACAACCTCATTATGTATTGAAAAAAATTAAGCCGTTAGACTGATGTTTCTACAAAACTGTACCACGGTGTGACATTGATCTTTTGCTGGGTGATTTTATGAAGTTCTTGTTTATAAACATGTTGACACTATAGGCTACTGGTATACTGTAAACGAAATTTGGTAAGACATGACAATTGACCTATAATCAACCAGGAACATTTTTTTCTCTCCACAAGATAACACTTTGAAGTCATATGACTTTTTACACCAGTATGGTATCACATGACTTGAACAAAATAAGATAAGTAGATTTTGACAGCTGAATGCGGCAGCCAAGTGCTATGGTATATTCCTATCCAACATAGGTATGTCCCGTCAAGAACGCCGAATCAATGAATTTTGACTGTGTCAACTCGGTAACAGTGCTCTTTTCAATCACATATCGCCTCTTAGTTCATGTAATTTCTCACCAACCTTGCTTCCAAAGCCTCATCTAACATATCCATGTGGCTTTTTGATGGATGTTTGAATTTGGCAGGAAATAAAGCAAGCTTGATCACGGGGCCAAACAACAGGTCATGTGAGATGGGAAAATGAACATGTGACAAAGATGGCTGATCTTGCTGCAAAACGTCTTAGCGTATGGATACATTGTCGCAGCGTTATTTGTGTTGTCGATGTCACCAAAAAAATCTTTAAAATCTGTGTTTAATTTAATAAAATAATATATATTTCATCAAAAATATTATACCAAATGCATAAAATTGAATATGGAGATGAATGACTAAGAACATTAAACGGTCTATATTATCGGCGCAATAGCATGAGACCCTTTTACTATGCTTAGCTGCTTAAACTACGCGTCGTTCTGTTAGCCAATAAGATTCGTCATTGTGATTTTCGGTTACGTCCGGGAAACTTCGTAGCAATTATTCTTCATCCGGTTATGAAATAAGTACTTCCGGTAAGAATTGAGCAGAATCAATTTTGACACGAGAGAAGATGTTGGACTTCTTTACTATTTTCAGCAAAGGCGGGATCGTCCTTTGGTACTTCCAAGGAACGTCTCAACTATTTACTCCGTCAATCAACTCTTTGATCAAGACCGTCATTTTACAGGTTTGAGAAAACGATCTTTACATTATGCCGTTAATCCACACGTGTCAACAAACATATGTCAGGATTTTGTCAACACGATGTAAACTGACAAGTTCAGTTCGTTTAAGAATTTCGTTTTGCGTGTTTTATCGAGTGGTGTTAAGAATGGAAGATTATTTGAAGTTGCTACACTTTTCTATTCTGATTTTTATCAGTTATATCTTGCATGCATACCATAATGTCCCGATTTCGTCGTCTGTATCATTCACGTTGAACTGTTGAAGGATACATATGTTTACCAGACCTTCAATACCATACATGCCAACCTTTTGAAATTTCCATGGGGATATTCCGCTTGTTCGAAATAAGAAGTCAAAAAAATATGTGTGTATAAATAACAACATATTTTGAGTTGTTCTTTCAGATAAAATCATTGGAACACTGTCTATATATATATATATAAGTCAGTGTCTCTGCATATGTCCATACGGTACAGCGTATGTTCACTCATATGTTTAGATCACTTGGAAAAGTGAGAGAAAAAACCCATGCCAAGTTTGCTTGCAGCATACTTACCAATCTTTTGAAATTTCATCTATTGCCAATGGCGATTCCACATTATCAAAATTAAAATTTAAAACATCAATAAATATGTGTTTCGGGTTTGTTTCACCCGAAATCCTGTTCGTCCTAGGTCGTTTTGCTATAAAAAAAATATACATTAATATAATAATTAATATTTAAATATATCAACTAAACTTATTAATATAAAAATTGATATTTAAATATATCAACTAAACTTATTAATATAATAATTATTTAAATATATCAACTAAACTTATTGATGACTTTCTACATTGGTGTTAGCCCTTAGGTATATTTTCATGTAGAGTATGTGAGAGCGAGTCATCTTTTGTCACACTCGCTTAAAAACAAGACAAACCATTTTTTTTTTATGAAATTTATTTTAATGATATAAAAGACTAAGAAGACTTTATTTGTGACTTAAAACTACTAAAACAATGTTTTGCCCTAGTATTTTTGTGTTAGGGCGAAACAACCTAGGGCGAAAGGGATTTAGGGCGAAACAACCTGGAATATATAAACCCCAAGGTTAAAATAACAGTTCAGAATGGCATCTTTTGAGTCACTGTTGCAGATGAAATCATTAGATCTTAGAATGTAAAAATCAATATACTGGTTCAACCGATACTGTTGAAAATCTTCAATTACAGGGTCCAAAATCAGGAGCCTTTTCAAAATAAGGAAAGTCCACAAGTACATGTATGTTATGGTATGGTGCAGCATCCACTGGTCAACAGTTTATCAACTTTTTTTGTGTGAACAACTTGTAAATTGTAAGATGAAGAGCCCTAATATTTTGTCCGTAGGTTCCACTTTCTGAGTACTCCTCGAATATCCTCGACCTTTTCTTCACTCACAGTTCTAAGAGGCAAACGTAGCTATAACCTGTTTTTTCTTCCATTTACTTGTCTGTGTTGCCTGCCTTTATATTTTGAGCTAAAGCAGTGTGCATTAAATCTGGCTTTAGATGAAATGGAAAAAAATAAAATCGAAAGAGCAATAAGCTGTTAGGGATCATTTACCGAAGGACCAAGGTGAGCTTATGCCGTGGCGTCCGTCCGTCAACAATTTCATTAAACGACTTCTTCTTCTGAACCACTGATTTAACTAAATTTGACTGGAAGCATCCCTAGGTGGTGGGGATTCAAAATTGTACAAATGGTGGAGCTGACCCCCCAGGGGGCTGAGGGATAGGCAAAAAGAGGGGAAATTTGGCTATATTGCTTTAAGCGACTTCTTCTCTGGAAATAAGAGATATACATCAACCATATTTGACTGGAAGCATCCCTAGCTGGTGGGAATTCAAAATAGTACAAATGGTTTGGCTGACCCCCCAGGGGGCTGATGGCGGAGCCAAAAGGGGGCAATTTGGCTACATTGCTATAAACGACTTCTGTAGAACTATGCCATGGATATCGATCATATTTGGTCGAAAGCATTCATTGGAGGCAGGGATTCAAATTGTACAAATGGTGGGGCTGACCCCCCGGGCTAAGGGGTGGGGCCAATCAAAGTTTATTACTTGGAAATGGTTGAGATCCCCACCATATAACCATATATACAATTGCTGAGTATAAAGAGAAGAATGCACGTTTGCTTCCAGGATGGCCCTAGGGTCTAGCCCCACCCTTGGGAGACATAGTTCCTAGGCCATAACTTTAAAACGGTTGAGATCCCCTACCCCAAAACTATATATACAAATGCTGGGCATAAAGAGACGAATGCAGTCATTATATTAGAATAGACCCTGTGGTCTGACCTAACCCCTATGGACCTAGTTTCTTAGTCACAGCTTGGAAAGAGTTGAGATCCCCACCATATATACAATTGCTGAGTATAAAGAGATGAATGCACATATGCTTCCAGGATGGCTTTGGGGACAGCCCCATCCTTTGAGATTTAACCCCAGGGTCATAACTTCAAAATGGTTGAGATCCCCACCACAAAACTATATATACAATTGTTCGGCATAAAGAGACGAATGCAGTCATGATATTAGAATTGACTACAGGGTCTGCCCCACCCTTGCAGACTTAACCCCTGGGTCATAACTTTGAAACGGTTTAGACCCCCACCCCAAAATTATGTATACAAATGCTGGGCATAAAGAGATGATAGCGGTCATTATACATTACATGTATTAGAATAGACTCTAGGGGCTGACCAAACCCCTAGGGACCTAGTTTCTGAGTCCCAGCTTGGAAACAGTTGAGATCCCCACCCTATAGCCATATATACAATTGCTGAGTATAAATTTTAGAGATGAATGCACATATGCTTCCAGGATGGGTTTGGGGACTGCCCCATCCTTTGAGATTTAACCCCTGGGTCATAACTTCAAAATGGTTAAGATCCCCACCCCAAAACTATATATACAATTGTTCGGCATAAAGAGACGAATGCAGTCATGATATTAGAATTGACTACAGGGTCTGCCCCACCCTTCCAGACTTAACCCCTGGGTCATAACTTTGAAATGGTTAAGACCCCCACCCCAAAACTATATATACAAATGCTGGGCATAAAGAGATGATAGCAGTCATTATTAGCTCACCTGGCACGAAGTGCCAAGTGAGCTTATGCCGTGGTGCGGCGTCCGTCGTCCGTCCGTCGTCCGGCATCAATATTTTACTTTAAACGACTTCTTCTTAATAACCGAAAGGCCTAGGGTGATGATATTTGGCCAGAAGCAAACTGGGATGAAGGGCTACCATGTTTGTTCAAATAAATGACCTTCATCTATTTTCAAGGTCACAGGGGTCAAATATGTTAAAAACTTTAAACAACTTCTTCTCAATAACCAAACTGCCCAGGGAGATGATATTTGGTCAGTAGCATGCTAGGGTGAAGGGCTACCAA